CAACATGATTTCTGCACAGTGATAAAATAACACGTTTGTTACTTTTACTGTCAGATCCGTTTCTTTCCTTCAGCCACTTGCCCTCCAGAAGATTTACCCCCCTTCCTGGCCATTTTTTGCAATACGGCGCTTCGTTACTATAACTGACATTTTTTCCCACAAATAGAGCTTTCTTTCAGTGGATCACCTCTGCAGTTTTTATTTTTTGCGCTATAAACAAAAAAGACTGACAATTTTGAAAACAAACAATATTTTTGACTTTTTGCTATAAAACATATCCAATAAAATTTTTTTTACAAATCTAATATCCTCATAAATTTAGGACAAAAAAATATTCTGCTACATGACTTTGCTAAATAAAAATCCCAATACGTGCAAATTAATTGGTTTACATGAAAGTTACAGCATCTACAAATGGCGGTACATATACTGGAATTTACATATTACATTTTTTTATACTAGTAATGGCAGCGCTCAGCGCCGTCAGGGGTATGGACATTTTTTTTAAAACTACTTGTCCAGGGACTAAATCAGTGCCCCAATCTACTTATCCCTCATGACAATCTTCTTGTCCAAATAAAAAAAAATAAATAAATTTGAACCAAAACCGTATTTAAATCTGAGGTGCTTGTAAAATCAAAAAGGGACTTTATGGCGATTCAACCGTGTAATAATTTTAACATTGTGCTGTTTACCTCCTCATCCCCTCCCTGCCTGTCTCCAGCACTGCACCCAAGGACTAGCAGGAAGGGGAGACACCTTGCAGTGTAATGAGCACCGATTGGGTGCTTGTCAGGAAAGGGAGGGAAGTGTCCGGCTTATCCTTTATCCCTTTCGCTGCCAGATATTTTTGCGGGTTTTTTTAGCACGTTTAAAAAAAAATCATTTTAGGCCTGAAGATTACACAAAACCCCCAAACATTATCTATTTTCTGAAAGCAGAGACCCTAGAGAATAACATAGCAGTAGTTCCAATTTTTTATGTCGCATGATATTACCGCAAAATTTCAGTAAAAATACAAGTTAATTTTAGGGCACAAAAAAAGCAATAAATTACACTTTTTTTTGTAAAATAGACGAGGTTGCACCGAGTAAATAGATACCCAACACATCAAATCTTAAATTTGTGCACACTTATGAAATGGCGACGAACTTTAGTACCCCATATTTTCTATAGGTGACACTTTTAAAGCCCCTTATAGGTCATCAATATAGTGTTTTTTTGGAAGGGGGGATGTTATGTGCTTGGATGTATCTTTGATGTTTTACAATTAAAAAAAAAATTTTTTTCATCACATAGGGGACAAAGTGAGTCCGGGAGACAGTGGGCGGTTCACACGGGGGGGGAACAGAGGCTGGCACTGTGTGGAGGCAATTGGCGGCAGCGCTGCCTCCCGAATGCTTCCACCTGACAGGTGAGCCCTGCTGCTTGCCCACAGCAGGGCTGAAGTATAACAAAAGCTACCTGCCCGGTGCTCAGAACTACATTTCATGGGCATCGGGCAGTATGAATTGAACATCCCTGGTCTCATAGCGGGACTGCGGTAACTGATTAACTGCCACTGACATCTCCAGTGACACTAATACAGGGATCATTGCTAATAAAAAGCACTGACACTGGGCAGGAAGGGGTTAACATCTGGGGCGATCAAAGGGTTAACTGTGTGCTATGTGTGTGTTTTACTGTGTGCACTGTGTTGTGTTTTATTAGGGAGACATGCTGAGAGGTCTCTCCCCTGTCAGTTTTCCCAGGTGATTGCCGAGTGCCAGCTGGGAATTTCTAGCCACCAATAGCGGCGCAGGTAGGCGGTGCGCACCAACTACCCGGAAATGCAAATCACGCATATATACGTGCTTTTGCGCAGCCCTGCCGCCCTGTAGCAGTACTTCTGCTAACGGGCGGAGGGCAAGCGATTAAGCAAGCGGTTACTCTAAGGAAATAAATGGTGGCTCTATACAGAACATATTTCTAGAAGATCGTTTTTCTATAGTAATCAAAAATACAATCAGAAAATTTTAAACATCATTAGATGTACCATACACTTAATCATATTGAATGATCTAATTTCCTCCAGAGCAATCAAAATAATTTTGGTTTTGCTGGAAATCAATCAATGAGCATGTGCCTTTTTGAGAATGCACAGATCCAATCATATTTTCTGATTATGTGAACATTCGTGTGATCAGATTGTTATGTTTGGTAATGCCATCATTGGGATTATGTATACAGCAGTGAATGTGACTTTCACCAAACATTTCTCTGGTGGTCAATCACTGTCATTTAAAACGCATGGACCTGGTAGATTCACCTGCTCAATGTCAGATGCACTGCTATATGAATATATCCCTTACTGAATGGCTCATTTCTGATTATGAATCCATGTGTTAGTATGTGTGAACCAAGGAGTTCCAACAAATCCAGAATTCCAGGATATAGGACAGGCTTTATTTGTATTTATGAGATCATTCTGAGTGGGGAATCTATTATTATGGATTCCAAATGTACATGACCATCTACAGCTAGTTAACCATGTAAAGCATGAGGAGAACTGCCATGTCTATGGCCTTTTGGCTTTAAAGAATATGTAAACCCAACATTTCATATTGCTGATGTAAGTCTGCTGTACCATGTACTTGTATGAAAGTATTCTGTTCTCTTTGCATTGCATCCTTTGTGTGAAATCCCTGGTGTTCCTGCCAGTCCCTCTGCTTTCCTATAAAAAACTGACCACACTACACAACAGAAGGCATGTGATCACTTATAAAAAAATGGGATAAATTTATATTTTTTTTTTATATCTATACATACACGTTTTTCCTCTCATTTTTAACTGAATGGATTTACATGTAGTTTAAAAGAACTACAAGCAAACTGGTGCTATACTGGGACTCATATACTGAATGTGGCAGATGTATGAAAGACAGAATTTCTTTTCTTTTGTATATAAAGATTACCAATGTGTTGATAGCATATAAATACCATAAAGACAGAAGAAAATAAAATTTCCAACACCAGTAACACTGACATTGAGTACAAGTTCTGTAGGGCTATATTTATCAAAGCCATCGGTGGAAGGGATAAAAAGGGCAGCACCAAAAGAGAACATACACAGTTTGGGGTTTTGGCTGTGTGGGTATATCCAGCAAGAGAATACAAATGGAGGGATGCAAGCTGCAGAGAGTAGTTGTAAGACACTCTGTAACCCACATATGCCATTCTGTGTGGGCTCTTGATTGGTGGAATGTACTATCCATTGCTGCCTCTTTAATGGGGTCAAGATGCTGGCTTACAATATCTTGTTATTGGTCGCATTATATGGATGGTAATAACAGGGTTTGAGCCTATACAAAATGAATCATCATTCAAATGTGACTAGGGCGGCATGCACTCTGTATAAAGTCCTGAGCTCTTTTCACAACGTTCTATGCATCCTCCTTATAGAGTTGCCTCTGATTTGTTACATAGTTCCTAGGATTTGTCAAGCACTCTAGCTATAGGCATAATACGTACATTACTGCAGGATGTTGAAAATCAATCAAGGGGCCCAATAGAACCCAAGAAGCTAGAGCACATGGACTTCCACTGTTGTCAATAGCATTAAAAAGATAGGTGAGCTCTATCAGTTTAATAAAGGGCATACATTTTTATTGGGATTGCTCTAGCACTGATCATAGGTGCCAGTAATACCAGTTGTAGGCTCTTACATTAATTCTCGATTTTTAAAAAGAAAAGCTGGTCATAGAAATTTAGATAAAAGCACGATTGTTCTCATTTCAAGCATCTTCAGGCAGTTTTTGCTGTTCAAAAGTCCAAACATGCGTATTATAGACAGACTGAGGCCAACTTAGCAAAAATTGATGTAAGGAAAAGCAGTTCAACATATAAATATTTTTTAAATCTAGGGTTAAAAAGGAAATTGGGATGGCTGAAACTAAGGTATTACCGGCCAAAGATTTCCGCTCTTGTATGCTGTTTTCCTATGTATTCAGTATAAAAAACTGTAATAGCTTGATTAATAAGCAGAGCCTCATTTTCCACAGCTTCTTTACCTTTACCACAAATGCACCATGTATTTGTCCAGTGTAATGATCCTTGAGATCATATAATGGTTTCTATTCATAATGTAAGGACATGTTTCATTCAGAATCAACATTATATCTGACATTTAAGCACTTGGAGTTAAAGTTCTTTGACATAAAGGATGCAATTTTGTGCGCAGACTAAGAATCTGCTATAAAACAGTGACATTAAAGATACCTACAGAAGTTTTGATAACTGGAAGAATTTCCACATAAGAATATAAGATGTCAAGCTACAATTAATTGCCTTAGATCCAGGTAGACTTCAGACTGTATATTTTAAATTCTATCCACTAAATCAGTACTTAGCATTGTATAATGGGAAACCTGGCAATATTTATTTTGTAATTTTTCACCAACTTGTTCAATATCTTAATGCTATTCAATAAAATATATTGCAAAAGAAACAAACAAGGAAACAAATGGTAACAAAAGACTAAAAGTCTACCCATATGGCCAGTTTTAGTTAATACATTAGTACATACTGATGCATAATGACACTATAATGATTATTTCTAAATATGGAGATAAAAATATTGCCTACATCATGCTATGGAAGCTAGTCCCTGTTATTGCACCCTTGGCTTCATAAATTTTACTATTAGGGGTGTGAGGCCGAGACTGGTCACTCGCCAACTACTCTGAAGTGGAGTCATTACTAAGCAATGTCCACTACCATGGTTACCTAAAGAAATTAGAACAGAGAATATAAATGCCAGTATCCAGCAAAATGTATTAGAGGTCTAAATATGCATCAGCGGGTATAAAAACGCATCCAATCCAAAGCCTAGTTTACTTTTTTGACACAATATCCATACAGCATAGAAATTTATTTAAGAGAAAAAAATACTTTTTTACATTTTCTATTTATTAATTAAAAGAGATTTTTTAAATTTGAACTTTTTCCCTTTTCTTTTTCCTAGGTTAAAAAAACTGATTGAACAAGAAACAACTTACCAATCTAAAAAAGAAAAGGAGAACCACAAGAAAATAATCAAACTTCGAGATGAGCTTACAAAGCTGAAATCGTTTGCAATAATTGTGGTCGATGAGCAACAGAGGTTAACGGAGCAGTTACAAGCACAAAGTGCCAAGATCCAGGAACTAACATTAACCACTCAAAAAGCACAGGATAAGCTCGCCATTGTAGAAGTAAAGGCAGAAGAAGAAGAGCAAAAAGCAAACAGACTAGAAATAGAACTTCAAACTCAGGAAAGTAAGTTCTTCCAAGAGCATGAATCCATGATGGCCAAACTAACCAGCGAAGAGACTCAGAACCGCCAACTCAGATTAAAGCTGGCAGCACTTAGCAGACAAATAGATGAGCTCGAGGAAACAAACAAGACTCTGCGTAAAGCGGAGGATGAACTTCATGACCTAAAGGAGAAGATGAATAAGGGAGAATGTGGAAACTCCAGCCTTATGACAGAAGTGGAGGAGCTGAGAAAACGTCTGCTCGAAATGGAAGGCAAAGATGAAGAGCTTATGAAAATGGAGGAACAATGCAAAGATCTCAATAAAAAATTAGAAAAAGAAGCCTCGCAAAGCAAAACTCTAAAAGTTGAAATTGACAAGCTAAGCAAAAGGATTAATGACCTGGAGAAATTGGAAGATGCATTCAGCAAAAGTAAACAAGAATGTCAATCCATTAAAAGTGCCCTGGAAAAAGAACGAGCCAACAGCAAGCAATTGTGTAATGAACTAGAAAGTTTAAAAGTTCGAATCCGGGAGCTGGAAGCTATTGAAGTAAGGCTTGAGAAAACTGAAACTGTACTCAAAGAGGATCTCACCAAACTGAAAACCTTAACAGTGATGCTTGTAGAGGAAAGAAAGACCCTTACTGAAAAGATCCGACAAACTGAGGAGAAGCTCAAGTCAGCCAATTCACAACTACAGCAGGAGCAAAACAAAGTGACGTCCATTACAGAAAAACTGATAGATGAAAGTAAAAAATCTCTCAAATCCAAGACAGAATTACAGGAAAAGCTGCAAACTGTCACTAAAGAAAATGAGGAGCTAAAATGCAAACTCAGAGGAGAGGAAGAAAAAGGCAATGATCTTATGTCCAAAGTGACCATCCTTAAGAAGAAACTGCAGTCACTTGAATTAATTGAAAAGGAGTTTCTGAAAAACAAAATGAAGCAGGAAAATAAGCAGTCAGAAACACTGTACCAGGAAAACAATAAAATCAGAGAACTTACTCAAGAGGTTGAAAGGTTAAAACACACCCTTAACCAGATGAAAGCAATGGAAGATGACCTCATGAAAACAGAGGATGAGTATGAATCTCTGGAGAAAAGATATTATAACGAGCAGCAGAAAGCCAAAATGTTTTCTGAGGAACTTGAAGTAGTGAAAATGGAACTTGCAAACTATAAGCTTGCTGAGAAATCAGGATCTTTTCAAGAAAAAATGCTGTTGACTAAGCTAAAGGAAGAAGAGGCAAAGTCTGGCCACCTTTCAAGAGAAGTTACAGCCTTGAAGGAGAAGATCCATGACTACATGAAAACAGAGGACACAATTTGTCGTTTGAAGGGAGATCATTCAGTTCTTCAGAGGAAACTCACACAGCAAGAAAACAGGAACAAAGAGCTAACAAAAGAAATGGAAAACTTATCCAAGGAACTTGAAAGGTATCGCCGTTTTAGCAAGAGCCTCCGGCCCAGCCTCAATGGAAGGAGAATTTCAGACTTTCAAGTGTTTTCAAAGGAAGTGCAGACAGAGCCAACATATAATGAACCACCTGATTACAAAAGTCTTGTTCCTTTGGAAAGAGCAGTCATAAATGGACAATTATACCAAGAAAGTGACAATGAGGATGATGACACACAAGACGAAGACTCTCCTGTTGCTTTCAAATATAACACATCCAATAACAATAGCTTAAATAACAACAGAAAATTAGTATCACCATGGACAAAATCTAACCAACAGGCACAAAATGGTAAGGTACATTTAAAACAGAATGGAAATTACATCCATCCAGGAGATATGGTCCTTACACATACGCCAGGTCAACCATTACATATCAAAGTTACACCAGATCATGGACAAAATACAGCCACTCTTGAAATAACCAGCCCTACTACAGAGAAACCCACACTCCTTTACAAGCACTGCTGTGATACCAAACTGTGGCACTCCAAAACAAAGGATAACAATCATTCAAAATGGTTCCTTGACTCCTGCAAAATCAAAAGTAGTAGATGGATATGTCACACCAGATCAAGTGGTGTCACCCTTTACAATGACTTCTTTTGTAAGACCCAGGTCACCCGACTCATGTGGTTCCATAACGCCAGACAGAACAATGTCCCCAATCCAAGTACTGGCCTTAACTAGTTCTTCAAGTTCTCCAGAGCGTGTACTGTCACCAGAACCAATGGAAGTTGGGGGAACTCATGCTGTATTTCGAGTATCACCCGATAAACAAGCAGGATGGCAGTTTCAAAGGTCAAACAGTTCTAGCTCAACTTCAAGTGTCATAACTACTGAGGACAATAAAATTCATATCCATCTAAGAAGACCCAGCAGCCCTTTCACTCCAGTACAAGAGAAAAGACACTCACTAACTAATGGAATTCAAAGTAAACCCACAAATAAAATCACCAACAGCATTACCATAACCCCAACTGCTACTCCACTATCACGGCAGTCACAATTTACAGTAAGTAATATCGATACCTGACCTATCCCCAAACCCACTCCTACCCAAATGCTCTAACAAACCACACAAGTTTTGCAACCCTAAACAATTGTAAAACATTCTTTTAAGGAGATCTATGTGCATGACCAGAAACACGAAACAAATGTCTGTTCCTATGTATTATTTTATTTGGGTGTGCGTACACATTGTATGCTTTTTTCATTTACAATATCTGTATGGAGTATATATGTAGTGTGCACATGTATTAAATATCTTAATGTATTATTTTTCCACAAACACTGTGCGTAAAGTCATTGTGGTAAAACTTGAACTTCATACATTTTTTTTTCTCAGTGACTTTTGCTTACCTATAAAACATGCTGTTAATTGTCCATTTTTTTGTCTGGCATACATTCATGGTTTAAAAAAACTCTTAAAGGTAAGAATCTGGATACAATTCTTAGCTAGGTATAATATGCAAAATAATTATGATGAAGGGACCTGAAAGTATATTTGTGTTTTATGTATAAAGTAATCAATTTTTTCCACATTTTAAGGTATACTACAGTTTATGTTCAAATGTTTGTGGACACCCCTTCAATTATTTGAGTTCAGGTGTTTCAAGTAAAGGATACAGTTACTGCCAAAGCATAGAAAGAAGTGTTGTGTTGTCTCTTCCACCAGTACTCTGTACCTGGGCACAAACCCAGTTCCGTATGAGCATGGTTTGCGGATTTTGGCGTGGAGGTACTCAAGCAATCTGCACAGAGCTCTGCCTTTAAACCAACTGAACACTTTGGGATGTATTGGAATGCAGATTGTGAGCCAGGTCTTCTTATCCAACATCAGTACCTAAAAACTGTAATAATTTGTGGGAATAGGACTTTCTCGGAGCTGATAAACAAACCATACACAAACTTTTTTAGGTCAAAAACAAGAACTTATTACACAAATTACTACTATACTAAAAATTACATAAAGGCAATCACATTTACAATGGATTCCCATATAAACTGAGGCCTAACCAATGCGTTAGATATTCATGATCACAGAGTTTTTACTTGATATATCAATAGATGCCATAGAATAAATGCAGCAATGACACATGGGTAGCCTTTTCACAGTTGGTACATTTCTGCATGTTTCGTGGCATAAAGCTGCTTCTTCAGGAAAGATGGGAATCACAACATCCTGGGTTAGAAATTAGACCAGCACAACCCGGGCTAGAGTCCAAGGAGCCATATCCAACCCCCGTGGGTATGGGAGACATACAAGCAAGTCAGACACTCAATAAAAGCAAGGATCTGGTATCAATGTTTATATGTGGACCACATTGAGGTGGGATAATCCTTTTGCTTTTATGGATTGTCTGATCTGCTTGTGTGTCTCCCATACGCTCCGGGGGTAGGATATGGCTTCCTGGACTCTGACCCGGGATGTGCTGGTCAAATTTCCAACTCTGGATGTTGTGATTCCCATATTCCTGAAGAAGCAGCTTTATGCCACGAAACATGTAGAAATATACCAACCCTGAAAAGGCTTCCTATGTGTTGTCTTTGCTGCATTTATTCTATGGCATCTATTGATATACAGTGATGTTCAAAATAATAGCAGTGTGTTGAAAAAAGTGAATAAAACTCAAAATTCTTCTAATAGCTTTTATTTCCATACACACAAATGCATTGGGAACACTACACATTCTATTCCACATCAAAACATGAAGAAAAATATATTGAATTTGTGTAGTTCCTCTAAAAAAATTGAAGAAAAGTGAATATTAGACTGTTCAAAAAAATAGCAGTGTTTGTATTCTTCTTTAGAAACTCAAACATTCACTATATAAACTGAAACATGTTTGAAGATTTTGCTTTCCTTTGAATCACTTCATGAATATTTAGTTGTATAAGCACTGTTTCTGGGAACTGCTGTACATCTGTGTTGCATGGAGTCAACCAACTTCTGGCACCTGTGAACAGGTATTCCAGCCCAGGATGATTGGACTACATTCCACAGTTCTTCTCTATTTCTTGGTTTTGCCTCAGAAACTGCATTTTTGATGTCACCCCACAAGTTTTCTATTGGATTAAGATCCGGGGATTGGGCTGGCCACTCCATAACGTCAACCTTGTTGTTCTGGAACCAAGATGTTGCACGTTTACTGGTGTGTTTGGGGTCGTTGTCTTGTTGGAACACCCATTTCAAGGGCATTTCCTCTTCAGCATAAGGCAGCATGACCTCTTCAAGTATTCTGATGTATTCAAACTGATCCATGATCCCTGGTATGCGATAAATAGGCCCAACACCGTAGTATGAGAAACATCCCCATATCATGATGCTTGCGCAACCATGCTTCACTGTCTTCACAGTGTACTGTGGCTTGAATTCAGTGTTTGGAGGTCGTCTGACAAACTGTCTCCGGCCACTAGACCCAAAAAGAACAATCTTACTTTCATCAGTCCACAAAATGTTGCGCCATTTCTCTTTAGGCCAGTCAATATGCTCTTTGGCAAATTGTAACCTCTTCAGCATATGGCTTTTTTTTTTTTTTTTTAACAGTGGGACTTTGCGGGGGCTTCTTGCAGATAGCTTGGCTTCACATAGGCGTCTTCTAATTGTAACAGTACTCACAGGTAACTTTAGACCTTCTTTGATCTTCCTGGAGCTGATTGTTGGCTGAGTCCTTGCCATTTTGGCTATTCTTCTATCCATTCGAATGGTAGTTTTTCGCTTTCTTCCACATCTTTCAGGTTTTGGTTGCCATTTTAAAGCGTTTGCGATCATTTTAGCTGAGCAGCCTATCATTTTCTGCACTTCTTTATATGTATTCCCCTCTCCAATCAACTTTTTAATCAAGGTACGCTGTTCTTCTGAACAATGTCTGGAACAACCCATTTTCCTCAGAAATTCAGAGAGAAATGCACCTTAACCAGCATGTACAGCATTTGCTGCCTCCCTTCCTTAAATAAGGGCAATAATTGGCACCTGTTTTTCAAAGAATGAATGACCTCACTAATAGAACTCCACACTGCTATTATTTTGAACATGCCCCTTTCAATTAGTGATTCAATTACACAGAATCAGCAGCATGCATGCAATGACTGTTGGGTCTGTTGGATTTCTATTACTCTACTACACCTGCTGGTAAATTATTTGCCATGTAGAAATATCATTTCTACCAAAAACAGTGATTGATCAGGTTAGTGATGTCTGACTGCTATTATTTTGAACACAACTGTATCAAGCAAAAACTCTGATCATGAATATCTAACGCATGGGTATGGCCTCACAGTTTATATGGGAATCCGCTGTAAATGTAATTGACACTATGTTGTTTTTAATATAATAATATTTTTTGTAATAAAAAGTTCTTATTTTTTTACCTAAAAATGTTTTTGTGTATGGTTTGTTCATCAGCACCGAGAAAGTCCTATTCCCTCAAATATAATTTTTTTGGCATTCATATGTGAGGACGGGATACCTTTTTATATTCTCAACTTGGCACATGGTAATTTATTATTACAATATCAGTACCTGACTTCACCATTGCTCTTTGGCTAACTGGGCAGATATTCTCGTAAATGGGCAAGGGGGAGGGTGGAGAGCCTCTATTATTGTCCATGGCTTTGGAATGGGATGTCCAACAAGCTTATATAAATGTGATGGTCAGGTGTCCACAAATGTTAGGCCATATAGTCTACATTAGACTTGTTCTTTGACACCTACTCTAGGGTTAGGAGGAAGACATTTTTACCAACCACCTTTCTGTTTAGAGAAATTACTACTGGCTTGACCGTATCATTACACTTTCTAGCTTCCTGAGGCAGTCCTGAGTTATTTTTGCCCTCAAAATAGCCATGATTTTAAATGTTTAAAAATGACATTAAATATTTAAATATATCGGCTTTTTTTCAAGGGTTTGTAATGATTAAAAGGGACTTCGTCAATTAAAAGAATATGAAAAGACAAAGTGAAGGAACAAAAAAGCTCCAATATTTCTTATTCCTCCTTCCATACATTATTATTGACTCAAACAACAAGAATTTTAGGGAGCTCAAGGATAGAGGGGGCACCACATCCTTATTGACTCGTTAGGCTTCTCATCAGCCCAAATAGAATAGACAAGCTCTGACACTACCCAGCAGTGTTGTATAGCTGTCCATTTAGAACAGCCACTGGATTCCTACACTATAGACCTGCAGTAGTGTTACAACTTTTTTTTTTTATTTTGGTTGCTATTACTATGATTTTATGAAGTATAAAAAGATTATTGAAAGGAGCAATACGCCATCTGCTTTTTTTGACAATCATCTTTTTATATACAATTGTGGGCACACAAAACAAGTCATCTGGATACAGTATTATAGAATGCAATTATTTTACATTAAGGGATGGCCATGTTAACCGGATATAAAATTAAAGAAGGGAAGTCACTGAAAAGGTGAGCAAATGAAGTAGGAATATTTACAATGATTTTTTAGAAAAATTTCTGAATATGTAATATTATTTATTCCAACGGGAGAAAACCATTTTTATCTCCGATCTTCCTGCTACATGCTCCAGTTCTAGTTTATCTATTGAAATATTTTATCAACCAGAAATAGTTCTGTATACTGGCTTCAAAGATTGTAGAAAACAACCATTTGTTATAAAATACCTGTACTATGCTGCATATAACTTGTATAGAAAGCAGAGCTGTGGGAGGGACCCATTTGCTCCACCCACTACAGGCTGCCTGCAGAAAACTACAGGGGGGGTGGATACAAGACCAGCCCTTGCACAAGGAGAGAGAGCAGCATTGACCGGTCTTAATACAGGAGGTCAAGTTTCACACTGGATTACTGCACTGATCTGGAAGAAATACACAAAAGCACATCAAGATTCAAGTTAGAAACCCAATGACTCCTTGTTTTGCCTCAAAACAAAGTGTTTTTAACACTACTACAATCGCTCACTAATACACGGATTAGGCTTAATAAATATTACAGCAAAACATGATTTATTGAATAAGTTCTGTTAGTATA